GCTAATTTATAGTTTTCTTGCACTGTAAACCATCTTGAAAATGACCATGAGGTCAGTTTCTCTTTGAAATCTCCACTTCTACTACCTTTATCACTGTTTCAGTATTTCCATAATTTGACTTTTACCTAAATATATATAAAAATGTATGCTCCTCACTTTGTCTGGCAGAGTCTTGCATCAACAGCTTGTTCAGTAGAATAAAATCCAATAAAGGAAAATATCGATATGTCACCCAAGGCCCCTAATTCTTCCCTGGGGCTTTGTTACCCAGTCTTTATGCATGTGTTTTCTTCAGTCACTGGACATCACTTTGCATTAGATATCTTCTTTATCATTAGAAAAAAATCTCTTTATTATCACTCTAAGTCTGAACCAATTTTTTGGAATTTCAACAAACATTGAGTGCCAATTATTAATCAATATCAAGTCATGGCTCTTTGGCCTTCATGGACCTTTTCAACAATAGATTCAAAAGTACTTTATTACATATGTTTGAGCTAGATGAAGGCAATATCCATGAATTACAGTTTTAAGTGGAGAGATGGAGAGAGAGAGAGAAAAAGAGAGAAAGAGAGAGAGAGAGAGACAGACAGACATAACAGACAGGAAAAAGAATACAAGTTGACTGAGTATTGAGAGAGAAAAGTGCAAATATAAACTGTATTTCAGTAAGTTTGTCTGACGACTATATTTGCATTCACTGAAACGTGATAAAGAGAATTAGGTGATAAAACTAGGAAGAAATGTTCTCAAACCTTACCAATTAGATGACTAAGCCAATCCATGTACTCAATAAGCTAATTATTTCCTGATCGATAGTCACTGAAGGGCCATTAGAAATGTCAAGTGTTCTTTACTTGTGCAACTAGAATCTAAAAAATAAAACATCCAAAAAATACTTCTTTGAGATTACACTTGATGACCCTTATTAAAACTTATAACTGAAATTTGATGACCAACATTACTAGATTCCACGCATTAATGAGAACCATTATTCTTTCATAGAACCACACATACAAAAATATGAAAATCTAATGCTTTACTATGGTTCAGAAGCAAAAATATAGCACTGCTTGCTTGAAGTTTTATAACTGTTTACTTTTTTGCTTATTACTGTCAGTGTAAAAATTGTTACACATATCATGAAATAAAAAGATCAAACAAATATGTACTCCCAGGGGTTATCCCATATAGCAAAGGATAAAACATAAAGACTTTAAAAATTTTATTTTCAATGAAATATTATAAATTAGCTGTAGAAAAATGAATAGTTATGGAATGTCATAGGCAAGAGGTAGGAAAGAACAACAACTGAATTTACAGAGAGATTTAAAAGAGTCAAAAAAGAAATGATAGAAAGTCAAGATAGAGCTCTGGCATTACATAGTGCAAATAAGCAGTGGATAGGAAGGCTGGAAGAATAGGCCGTATGCACAGCAGGGATGGCCATCAGGGTGGAATAAAATAAACCAAAGGTGTGTGAATGGGTAATAATGTGATTTGTGCACTGCATAATATGAGTGGATGATAACATGGACCATGCAGTTGTCTGGACACAAGAGTGAAAGCAGATGAAAACTCAGGCAACTGGAGGAGCTGGGCACAGACCCACCAGGCCAGGACTTGGACAGCCATGTGGAAAGGCATGAAAGACATTTTTCCAGGAATTGGAGGGAAGTAGGTCCCAAAGGTATATGTAGGGACTGACATAAAGAAGGGGCACAGGCAGCTAGTCACTTTCAAGTCTATAAGCGATAGCACCAAACACTGGGAACCATAGGACAGAAAGAAAGAAGGGGGCAATGGTGAAAATGGGGACTAATTTTTTTAACCCATTAAATACTGGTATTGGCAACCAAGTACATGAACAATAGCCACAAAAAGACTGGATTGGACTTAGGAGAAGCCAAGATTATACAACACTGAGACATCAAAGCATAGTGGGATGTTATATTATTGCTCAGCAGTACTGCATCTGCTTGCCCTCTTCTGGGGAAAGTCTTCCTCTGTGATCAAGCTTGGCCATGCAACTTTCCAATGAAAAATGAGCGGATGTCATATACCACTTTCCAAATAACATAGCTTGATAAGCTCATAGATTCCTGATCATTTCCTTTCCTCTGCCATGTAATCAGCAATGTATAACTAGTAGCTGCTTCCAGGTGTTTAAACCATGAAAATACAAATTAGTTGATATGTAAGCTGAGTGAAGAGTACTTAGTTGTTACAAGGGCAACGTGGCTTTGGAGTTGGTTAATGCTGTGGTATAAACTTGCCGATGCTTAGGCAAGGGTGATATCTCACTGGTATAAGCACCTGGCTGGCAAGTGCAAAGCCCTGAGTTTGACCTGCAGTAGCAAAAATAAATAAATAAATAAATAAATAAATAAATATTTCTTAAAAACTTCTTTACTCTGATTAGTAAACATGGGAACAAATATGATTCCTCAAAAATCAAAATTAGAGAAAGATCACAAGACAGTGCCATACAGCATTTAATCAGACAATTCTGAATTGTCATTTCATAAAATAAAAAATACAAAGTAGTTGTATTTGCTAAGTTACTTTGCATCACTTTTTCAGTATGAGAAACTTGCTTTTAAGCTAAAAAAGTTCCTTAACCAGACAATTATTCTGGCTACTTTTGGACATGCTAGCTGTATGAAATATTCTGTACTGAATAACAACCACTTAATATATGTTTAATATGTGTTTAAATATGATCAGTATGGGAAAGCAATCAGTAGTAAAATGGACAAGTTATTTTAAGAAAGCATTATCTGTCAGCTCACATGCTTCATTTTTATATAACATAATGGGAAAGAAAGGATGAAATGGATGCAGCTTTCTTGGGTTCTATACAGAATTTTGCGGAAATTCAAACCTAAAGATAAAATTTGGTTTGAAACATCTGGTGAACATGCTGGAATCCTTGGTTGCTCATCTTCTATGCCTTTTTCAGGGTAATGGTCTGTATGAATGAGGAAAACACTTGTCACTCTTCCTTGTGCTTTAGGAGATCTACAATAACTTTATAGATTACTATCCCTTTTGCTTTGCTGGTTTTCTCTAGGTTCACCATTTCACCATCTTTTTGAATGTTGTAAGCTTTGGCATGTTTATTTCATGGAATTCTGTTCCACAGCCCATTCCAACATGCACTCTCCCATTGGTCTCTAAGTACAGGGCCTTGATGTCCACTACTATTCACATTCTAATCTTTAAACTGAGGGATGGAGCCTTGCTTTAACAGCTCATTTTCCTAACAGAGACAACACAAATGGGTAATTTCTTGACCCAGCTTGTGGTTCTAGATACAAGTATATATGAACTTTTAGATGATACACATCTTTAAAACAAGAAGGATTTTTGAAATTAAAGAAGCAGTCAAAATAGCCTTAATAGGCATTATGATTTTTTTAAAAAATGTCTAGGAGTAGAAATAGGGTAAACAAAAGTGATCCTCTCATTGTTTATATCAAACTCATCTTGTTCTACCTTTCCACTACTTTCTTGCCAATAAAAAGCTACTTTCATTTCATTTCTCTATAGGAAGAGTGGCTGGGGACAGGGTCCTCATCTGTGTCTGGAATCAGAGACTACTCTTCCCTCCTGTATTATCACTCATTCCCTCATTCTCTGAAAATATAGCAGTGATTCTTCTATGTAGAAAAGACAAAGGCTTTTCATGTAAACTAATAAAATGGAATTAATTCAGCTCTTCTTCTAGATACCGAAGTTGTGAGAGTAAGATAAGTGTCCCTGGCGTTTGGAATGTAATGATACAAACTTGGAAATATCAAAGGAGAAAAGTGTCAAGGAATACTCAGTCATTCAAAAGATACCTTACACAGGGTCTGCAACACATCAGACAGGTGTCAGGGCGCAAAGATGACAGATGTATTCAGCTTTAGGTGGTACACAGTGTCCTCAGGGAGGGGCTTTATGCACTTACCAGTGACGTGCAGGTAAAGAACATACAGTGTGCTGTGGAACTATATCATTGTCCTTTTCAGATCAACACAGAAATAAATATCTCAAATTCTTGGAGGAGCTTATACATGCCCAGTGGATGCTACCATGTGTAATATATTCTTTTTGTTGTGTTGTACTGGTTCACTGTTCAGTCCTCTCTACTTTTGTCAGTCAGGACTCAAAGATTATGTTCTAGTTAAGATCTTTCCAGCATGATGGAATCTTTTCTTTTCCCCACTATTGTCATTTGTACGAATTGGAAGTCAATAACCTGTACTAGCTCTTTTGTTTTAGAAAGTAACTTTTAAAGGTATATCCATAAATGATATTAAGATAAAATCTGAGGACCAGTGGCTTTGCATTTTAAAATGTCAACATAGGAAAACCCCACTGGCTAATATTAAGCTGGTTGTTTGCAGAACTTGTCCCATGAGGCCAATCAGGGGCCATTATTTCAGTATGAAGACTGTTAAAAAGATTAATTAGTATCAATAACACTTACCTATATTTGCAGAGGGAAGATTACTCAACCATAATGAACCCAGAATTACACAGCTACCAGGTAAAACAGTGCACTGTTTGGAATTTGTGAGAATAAAGCCTGTCGGCGATAATGCTCTCATTGGGGCCTCCTTGATTTATTTTGCCTACTGTGCTGTGCACCTACAGCTAAATCAAATCTGTGCAGCTATAAACTAAGGCATTGTGCACAAGATGCTAAGGATACACACTGAAGAGGTTCACTATTCAAAAAGGGATGTAAGTTACATGGCTTCCAATGCCTTTATTACCACCATGTTCCTTTGAAGAGCTACAGGACTCTTCTTAAATGCAAAATCTGGAGTATAAGTGGGAATTAATTTAAGAGTATTGAAAAATGTGAGAAAAAAATTACCCTTATACAGAAAAATGGATCAAGAATGAATCAATGTGGCAGACACATAATTAAACAGACATGGGGTTAGACAAGAGAGGGAACCCCAAAACACCAACCATGAGGAAAACAACAAAGATCATCGCTTAACCTGTTTTGTCAGAGCTGGTATTGATGGTATTGGTAGTGATGGAGGTGAAGGCAGTCTTTGCGCTGTCCTTGGCAGTTACAGATTTCTGCTTATTTTTCATGGCTTCCAGTGCTTTGAGCTTCTTGGCATGTTTCGTGCCTTTGTAGTGGGCCGCAGCCTGGCTCTACAAAGGAGAACAAAATGAACCATGCAATCAGGCTCATTTCTAAACTGGCATTCTCTGTATTACTGCAAATACAGACTCCCTTTCAATAACAGGTACCATTCAAGCTAATTCTGGTCATAGCCAAACAGTAAGGTTCTATTTAGAATGATGCTGGAGGGCAACAGGAATCAAGTTATAAAACGTTCGGACAAAAGGGAGAAATATTTTACCCTGTCTCTTAAGGGAAATGTGGCTGAAGACAAACACATCAGTATTTTGAGAGTTTCGTGGGGAGGAAATCCCTAAGAATTCACACCAGCACTGCCTTTGTTCTGCCACTAAAGATGCTGGGCTTCCAAGCATTAACAAAAGCCCTAGAAAAGAGGCGCTCTCATTTTTTTGTTGTTCAGAAAAGTGTTTCTCCTTTCTACAATGTGCTTTATTAATACAGCACCCAAATGGTGTCTACAGGAAAAGTTCACACATAGCAAGAGAAGTGGGCAACAGAGACTGAAGTTGAAGCTTAAGAGTTCAAAGGCAAATGCACTGCTTGAGTCCAAATGGAGCCACACAGAAGCTGGGCAGTTTCTGATTTTTCCTTTCTCCCAGTTTTCTACCAAGTATACCTTGAAAAAGTCAAGGTAATATTACTTCTTTAACACACAGCTTTTTCATGTCACAGTCCATGCCCAGGGTCCTTTAACTATCTGATGGGGTGAATGCAGATTTTTCTGTGTCATTATTATTAAATAATGATACACGTTTTCAAGTTTATGTTCTCTTAACACTATTTTGAGGGCATGTACTAGAGAGACACATTAATTGATACATAAAATTATCTTTAAAGAAGTATATACTCATTAGTGTTTATTCATTCAAAAGAAAAAGTTTTTGTAGTGTGGGGTGGTATGGTGAGGTGATGTAGACAAGGAGGTTCTTATATCAGGTTTTTCAAGCCAAACCTTTTAAAATATCATCTTATAGGAAAGAAATCTCAATAAGTGACTACTGCTGTTAGAGTATCCATTATTTGCACCTCTTATTAAAATGTTCCATTTTGCAAAAATAAGAAAATAATCACACTGTTCTCTTCATTTTGGCAACTGCAGTAGGCAGGGTGTTGCAGTATAATATTTTTTAATAAATAAATAATCTGTACCCTCATTTGCATCATTCTAGCAAGGGGTTAGACAAGAGAGGGAAGGACTAGGTACCCTTATTGAAAGAGCACTGGACAAGTAAATTATTTATTACGAACAGTTTCAACAGAAAGCACACTCATGCATCAGTTACACGTTCTCCAACAACACATAACACCAAAGAACATAGTATGAGGCATAATAGGAAATTAAGACATGCTATAGTTAATAGAGAAACCAATGATTGAATCAATTTGATTCTATGTAGGAAAGACTTGGATGGATAGAGATGTGTAACTTTTTTTCCTGCTTTGTTTTCCTTTTCAATAAATCAAATCATTTGGCCCTATTTTTTGAAGACAATACACTATATTCAACATGGTTATTTCCTCTAAGCAACTGGCTACATGGCTTCCCCTCCCTTCTCCCTGTTACTACCTTGTCCTCTCACAATGGAGATAGATGACTGATTTTATAATATACATTAAAAGACTAGGTTTTGAGTAACAGTGCAATCTTCACTTATACAAATACTATACATTTAATGGATTTAAAGTACATGTACTTTCTCAGTGGTATTTCAAATTAGGCTAGACTTTGTATTACCATTCCTAAGCCAAGTGAATATCACTATATTTAAAATAAGAAACTCACAACAAAACAGCTTCCACAACAAATAAATGAGCAAATTCCACAAAAAAAAAAAATTCTTTGCACAGGTATAGTTAGACCAATCCTCTTCAGCAAAAAAGTGGCTCAGAGGGTCAAGGTTATAAGGATCTCACATAATCGCTAGTAGCTGGAGGACTCTGAGTGGAGACACTTGATATTTTAACACCCTTAAAAAAGAGCAAATAAATTCATACTAATACTCAATTGTTTATTAAGCAATAGTCTCAAAGCACCCTCATAATTATTTTAATTAAGAATTATCTAATTTTTAATAAAAAGGTAACTAAGTATCCTCCTAATTTGAGGAAATGGAATTACGCAAAAGTCCAAACTATAGAAAATAATAGGACATGTCGGCTATAGGGAGCGTGGAATATAGTGGGGTGATTGCGACAGAGGAGACCAATGTAATTGCGATATGAGAATGTACTGAGATGCACATACAAACTTAAAACTTAATTTAAACAGATAAGTCTTTTAAATTTAGTTTATCTTAGTCTTTTTGTAATGATTATAGAATGTTTGGACTGTTCTTAGGTTATGCAATATACTTCTAATCTGTGTATAGCGACTACATAACTCATAGGTCTACCTTGAGTGAAGTGTCTCTTATAAAGGTACTTTCCCTGTGAAAGAGAAAGCCCAGCAGATCTCCTTACCTTTCTGGTGCACTCAACTAGGCTAGATATATTATTTTCCCATACCTAATCTCTCTGGGGCTATTGACAAAGCAGAAGCCTAAGTGGGAGTCCTGCTGAGAGATTTCTAAAAAGCAGCAGTTGGCCAAGATATTTCTTTGGACCTCTTCATTTCTCCTTTGGACAAAGAGATTAAACATGGTCACCGCAGATACCAGATACTTTGTTCTTTCTGAGGCTATTTCTGATATTTGATAATCTCTGGGTCAGAAACCTTGGAACCATTAAGCCACAAACAAATGATCTTTTTTTTTTTTTTTTCCGGAACCGGGGATTGAACTCAGGCCCTTGTGTTTGCCAGGGAAGCGCTTATTCCACTGAGCCATCTCCCTGGCCCCCAAATGATCATTTTTCATAGGAATGTACTTAAGACTCAATAAGCATGCGAATATCAGATTCTGTACATTAAATGTAACATAGAAAAACAGTTCACATAGAAATGAGCAAAACAGTAAGAGCTGTGTTTAATAACTGAATTTTAAGTAATATACAGAATCTGAGGGTACTGCACATAAAAATCACTACACTGATCTTGAAATAGCAGATGACATAATGAAATTAACAAGTGTCTTTTCTAAGGCAAGTACTGACATTAAAGATGGCAACCTTGTCCTGTAGAAAAGAACAGTGCCATTTTAGAAGTTTTTGCCACTTTCTAGTTATCAGCAGCCAGTCAGATTTTTCAGTATTCCAGTTTTGTCTTTACTCTTTCAAAATGGCTTTTTTAAATGTAAGTGAAATTCCAGAGTAGATAAGATGAATCTGGAAGGGTATAACATTTTAAAGAGGGGCTTTATCATTTTGATACAAACACACACATACATTGATTTTACTTGTTTAATTAAAAGCTACTTTTATAAATTACTAATATTTATGAAATTCAGTAGAAATTTAAAATCCAGTTATCTTTCCCACCATTAACAGCAGAGCTTTATATACTTTTTCTCAACATATTACAGAGCAAATGCCACTTGATATGCCTTTTAAATACTAGGAAATTATATGTAAGTATACATACTTTTTATCATAATTACTTAATTTTCACAAACATGTGACTTCCAAAAGGAACAAAGTGGTCCTTGTAGCTTTGTGATATCATGCAATTTGATCACATGTTAAACTTCTGTAAATAAAGATGATTATACTCATGGGATTTTTGTCCCACAGAATTCATCTGAAGTGGTGGTTCTCAAAGGATAGATAAGTCAAACAGCAGTATAAGCATCTTAGTATTGGCTTAGGATTTCATGAAAATGCATGATCAATGACAGCAACAGATTTTCTGAATCACAAAGCATGGAGATGAGACTCAGAAATGAATGATTTGTGAGCTCCCCAGGTGATTCTGATACATGTTAAATTTTCAGAACTACTCATTTCTCCAAAACTGGTGATTCCTAGACTAGACAACTGTTGAATGTCCAAAAGTGATACCACAAAGCAAGGTATATTTATTTGCAGAATACTTTAAACTACAGAAGTCTTCTCAGAGCCAAATTCTCTGACTTCCTATATCTTGTCTTTTGTCTTGTTTACCTTCCCATGCCCCTAAAAAAGGAGGGCCTTGCCCCCAATTTTCCTTACCTGACTAACAGCAGTTCCTACAGCACAATGCAAGTTTTGAAACTCCCTCTTTGGAGCCCCAGGGATTCATGATTAACTCGTACCCAGTGAGGAGAGTAAGAATGCTTGCTTTCTAGCAGAAGAGACTCGAATCTAGCATACCTTCACCTATTCTTTTGAGGGCTGAGACCTCCAAAAGCCTGTCAGAATTGTAGGACAATCTTTGCTTTTCTTTTCTTTATCTTCCTCAATTATAAGAATGCCCAGGTCCTCCAAAAATCCCAACACCCTGTTCCTTTCGTTGAGAAAGCTATATAAATTTCATCTATATGGTCCATTCTAGAGCCTCATATTTTGTGTAACTGTCATTCATGCATCAGTTTTATATGCCTTTTCTCACAGTAGTTTGCCTACTGTCAACCTCACCGACTCAAATTATTATCAACCCATAATGTCTTCCTAGTGTAAGAAACTAAACGAGTAAATAAAACCTAAAACATACAATAGATATTGTAAAAGGGAAGGAAACTGGTCCAAAGGAGAGAACAACTGGGATGAGAGAATGGAGGGGGTAAAAAAAGAAGGGACACACACACACACACACACACACACACACGCACACACAATGGCTAAGATAACTGTACTACTAATTTCTACTTAACTTTTTAAATGTAACAATGCTGAATTTCTTTTTTTTACCCGCAGAATTCTTACTTGAATTTATTAGTCTTTTTCTCACTGAGAACAACTGAGTAGATGAGACATATTTTATCTATAAATAAATTATTGTATCTTGATAACTTAATTTACATAAAATGATATGACCTTGATCAATTTTGCATGCCTAGCTCTGGTAATCTAAACAACTACTTTAAAGATAACAATATGCAATGTAAAAACCAATGTTGATTTCTTATCATCTTGTTTTGAAATTCTATCATTTAAT